AATGGCAGCTCACTGCCAAAGCGCTCCCGCATTTGGAGCTGCAGCCTGTTCTGGGATGGCCACTGCCACTGGCCTGGCTGTGTCCCTTGCCACAGACACCCTGTCTGTCCTCCAGTCTCTGGCTGCCCCAGAGAGCGCTGCCTCAAAAAGGCTCTAGCGTGAAGCAGCTCCCTGCCTTCAGCTGTGTCTCCTGGAAGCCCTGGGCCAGGACCCAGTGTGTTCCAGGGCTCTGAGCTCAGACACAGGTCTCGGCAGTGGTGAGGAGATCCCAGGCAGGCCCCAAACTGTGGGGCATGTTGGCCACTTGACAGAATCCCAGGTTCTGATGTCCAGCCTGGAAGGAGACTGGGAAGGCCCTTTCCCCCTCCCCCAGGACCCCCCCTGGGTCTCAAGGCTCAAGTAGCCATGATCATGCCACTGCACTCCAGCCTGGGTGACAGAAGGAAGGAGGGAGGGAGGGAGAGTGGGGAGGTACTAGGGTGGGGAGTTGGCAGGCAGAAAACTTGTCAAAGTCCCACAGGAAGGGAGTGTCTAAAAGTAGGTAGAGGCCCAGAGTCAGGGTCACTGAGTCCAGGACAGGGTGAAGGTCATGTGTGCGACAACCACTCTAGCCAACAAGCGGGGTCTCACCAATGCTGAAGACAAATGATGCATGGGCCAGAGAAACGGCACCATCAGCCACTTTCAGATTCATGGCATGTCACTTTGGGGATGTTTTGTTATCCTGATGGGGGCAGGGGATCAGTGCGTGTATCCAGAGTCAGAACTTCTTTTTATTTTTTATATTTTTTATTTTAGAACCTCTTTTGTTATTAGCATCTGAAACGGTAAGAGCAGACCATATCTGTGATTTCAGTTGATAAGGGAATATAAACAGTATTTCCGGCGGGGCATCATGGTGCCCCTGCACTGCCAGCACCTTGGGAGGCTGGGTTAGGAGGGTCACTTAACCCCAGGAGTTCAAGACCAGCCCAAGCAATAAAGGAATACCTTGTCTTTAAAAAACTAAAAAAAAAAGAAAAGAAAAAAAATCTTTACGGATTTCATGCAACAGCTCTGAGATGAAAAGGTCTGAGATCTCAGCAACAAAAGCCACGCGTCTTGCCAATACTGCTTTCCGGGAATGCTGCTTGCATCCAAGATGGGAGGAAATGCTCAATGTCACTCAGAAGGAGTGAAGAGGAGCCAAGATGTGCTTTTCTGCACCCCACCCCAGGGTGCTCACCTCACCGGCTCCTCACTTGTCCATCTGGGAACAAGGGGCTGGAATCCGAGAGAAAACAGTCCTTGCCCCGAGGAGCCAGCCTGCATGGGAAAACAAGGTCCCCAAGAGCTAGGCCAGGGGAGGGGCATGCACAGCTCTGGGCTTCCATTTGAGGGATGGAGGGCTGGCGTGAGATGGGGAAACTGAGGCCGAAGTGAGTATAAGGGGAAACAGGTGATGCTTTAACAGGACCAGAAGTCAGAGGACTATGAGCTCCCTGGAGTTCCCAGAACTCAACTGTAATCTCCTAAGCCACTGTGTAGTGCAGGCAAGCCCGAAGGCCCCCACCACTGGCCACTGGGTTCCCAAATGACCCCAGACCCCAGCTCAGGCCCAGAAAGCAGGGCAGGACCGGGCCACCCTGCGAGGGAGGACCTCTTCCAGGCCCACTCAGTCAGAACAGCCGTAATAATTCCTGTGGCATGCTCGAGGTGTGACCAGCCAGCGGGTAGGCTTTGGGTAGGGGTCTGGGCGAGAAGGAAACAGGGCTGGGCAGAGGAGATGGCAGGGCCCTCTCCTCACCCCACCCCCCAGAGAAGTCTTGAACGGTTGAGTTCTTCCTGCCACAGGTCTTGGCGGTTGAGTACTGGGACTAAGCCCCCAGTGAGAGGAGGAAGTAGACTCTGGTGGAGGCAATGCCACCCCGCAGAGCACCCTGGCATTCTGCAGTGTGATTCTCCAGCTCTAGCCCGCTGAGTCTCCCAACAGAGAGAGCAGGCAGAGCAACCACGTGGGAGACAGGATGGCGCAGGAAATCCCAGAAAGGTGAACTCTGTCCTGGGTTGCCTGCTGTAGTAGTGAGCTTCCCATCACTGGAGGAATCCAAGATAACATTGCAGTTTGCAGTGGCACCAAAGCGCCTGTTCTCCAAGAGGCAGGGCGGGGCTGGGGAAAGAGTAAAGGTGCTAGCAGTAAGCAGATTTGGGCATGGAGTAATCAAGCTCCAGAGGGGTTCCATCCTGGCTGTGTGACATCGGGTACAGCGTGAGACCTCTCTGAACATCTGTAGCCTGGCTCAAATGCCACACACTTCACAGCCCTGCACACAGAGGTTGACCAAAGTGCCTGCCAGGGCTGGGGTGGGCTGGAGTCCCCTTCACCTAGCTACACTGGCTGCCTACTGAGCCTCCTACATGGGTATTCCTGCTCCTTTGCTCCAGCCAACCCATCTGTCCCTCCAGCCACCTCCCCTAGAAGGCCAGCCCATTCCATTGCTGGCATCCCTCTGTCTGAACTGGTTCTCAGGTGCAGCCACCTCAGAGGAGAGAGGCCCAGCCCCTAACCCTGACTGACAGCAGAGGCGGCCAAGAAGGCTAGAGGGTCCCTGTCTAGCCTGGCCCCCAATCCCCTCCCTCCAGCCAGCTCATCCCACTCCTCTTGGCTGAACCTCATCTGATCCCAGGGACCTCTGAGAAGAGAGAAACAGATCCTCACAACCTAGGCAGCGTCGGGGGAGCACCAGGGCCTCAATTTCCCCAAGAACTCACTGGCTGACACTTCTTAGCTCCCTAGCGGGTCTCCTTCTAGGGACAGAAATCTAGGTGTGATGACCTGGGCTGCCCTGCACCTGTCTGGCCTGAAGACATCACCTTTGCCTGGGTGGTGGTGGGGAGGCCAAGCCAGGAGCACAGAATCAGCAGGAAGGGACTTTTTATTGTTATTGTTTTCAGACAGGGTGTCACTCTGTCACCCAGGCTGGAGTGCAGTAGCACAGTCCTAGGTCCCTACAACCTTGAACTCCTGCGCCCAAGTGATCCTCCTGCCTCAGCTTCCCAAGTAGCTGGGACTACAGGTGCATGTCACCATACCTGGCTATCTTTGTAAAATTTTTGCAGAGATGGGGTCTCATTATATTGCCCAGGCTAGGGAAGGTACATTTCTTAACCCTAGGGCTGCGTATACAGGAATCCATTTTATTACTTTGTAAACTGTGCATGTATCTGACACACACTCCTGTCTGTATTTTTTCACATTAAAATATATATATATATTTTAAAGGAGCCAGGCACGGTGGCTCACACCTGTAATCCCAGCACTTTGGGAGGCCAACGTGGGTGGATCGCCTGAAGTCAGGAGTTTGAGACCAGCCACGGCCAACATGGCCCTGTCTCTACTAGAAATACAAAAATTAGCTGGGCATAGGGGCAGGTGCCTGTAATCCCAGCTATTCCAGAGGCTGAGGCAGAAGAATTGCTTGAACCTGGGAGGTAGACGTTGCAGTGAGCCAAGATCATGTCACTGCACTCCAGCCTGGGCAACAAGCAAGACTCCATCCCCCCACCCAAAAAAAGGGGGGAGGCAGGCTCTGGTTCACACACAATCCCTTCAATAGCACTGGAGCCATCCCTGGCCACCCTCTGCCAGCAGAGAACCAAAGCCCAGGCTGGGGTCCCCTCAGCCCTAAAGCGGCCATAACCACATGTAACCCCCATGAAATGTCTGCACATGGCCCAGCTCTGGCTAAGCAGGGGAAGGCAGCACAACCAGAAGGCCCCAGAGGCATCCACATCCCTCCCTGGGGCTTTCCATGAGCATCTGAGATGCCTATAGGGCGGGAGGGAGAGGTCCTTCCTCTAAACAGACTACTCTGCTGCAGCTTCACAGAGGTGAGACTTCAGATGGGAGCCCTAGGCAGAGAAAAAGACTGAATTTTGGGGGCAGGAGGGTCACCGCTTCTGGGGACCTTTGCGGCCTCCGCAGGTGCAGCCCCAGTGGAGAGCTCCGGCCACCTCAGCCTCCAGAGGCAGGACGCCCTGCCCAAGGGGCCAGGAAGGTAGGTGACAGGGACAGCGAAGGGGCGCAGGAGGCCTCGGCCTGGACAAATCAGGATGCTTCCCGACCTCCACAGTACCCAGGGCACTGTACTGTGCGGACACCCTCCTAGCAAGCGCAACCCCACACAGCCGCACAAGGGAAGAGGGAAGGAACCTGGGGGTGGTGGGCAGAGCCAGGCCTCCAGCGCGCGGGACAGAGAGGCTGCGCCGGTCCCGGGACAGAAATCTAGGTGTGATGACCTGGGCTGCCCTGCAGGGAGGACTGCAGGAGGGACGCCTGAGAGCGAGGGCTCCTCTGCCTCAGACTGGATCTCAGCGGAAAGGCCAGCTCATCAGAGGCCGCTGCGACATCCCCTCTGGGCCCCACCCCGACGGTCCCCGTCTGCCCCCCGGGTCTCCAGGCCACCTCCTCCTTTGCTCCACCCGTGGCCAGCTCCCGGGGTCTGCTCCGGGCCCAGGCGTGACCCCGCTCGAGTCACTGCGGCCGTCAGGGCGCCGAGGCCAGTGGGGGGACACTGCAGGCCTCCCGCCTTCGGACCTTCGGTCGCGGACCCGCGAGTGCCACAGGTTTCCACAGGGCCGGGGCTCGCGGCCCCGCGCAGCCTGGGGGCTAGGAACCCCAACCCCGGAGAGGGGCACCTCGCACCCCCGTCCTCAGTCACCTGAGGGCTCGCGGTGACTGCCGCGCCCGGAAGGAGGAGGGTGTCAACCCGGCCCCGCCGCTCTAGTTCCTGCAGGAGCAGGCCGGGCCTCAGTCACCGAATCTGTGAAACGGGCGGGAGGGAGCCACATGGTGTCTTCTCGGAAAACACACAGGCGCAGGCGCAGATCTGTGCGCTCGCCTTCTGGGCGCGCGCGCGCGCGCGCGCGAGGACCGCGGCCCAGGGCGGGGCGTCCCCGGCCCCGCCCCCGGCCCCCGCCCTTGCAGCCCTCTTGGAGTCAGCGCGCCTGCGCCGCGGGCGCGCGGTGGGCGGAGTTCTCTATGTCTCCGCCCCTTACCCGGCGTGCTCTGCGTCCGCAGGCGCTGACGTGGCCGCCGTCAGAGCCGCCATCTTGTGGGAGCGAAACCAACGCCTGGCTCGGAGCAGCAGCCGCTGAGGTGAGGGCGAGGGACTCGGGACGGTGTGGGCCGCGGGCAAGTTGGAGCCGGCAGGGGCCGGAGACTGGCCTAGGGGCGACTTGAGGTTCGCGAGGAGCACCTCGACCCCCCCGGCGGCGCGATAAGGCCGGGCCGGGGGCGGACGAGGACGGGCCAGGCTGAGGCTGGGGCCCGGCCGGGGTCGGGGCTGGGTGGGCAAGCGGGTCGGTGGGCCCTTCGCGCCCCTCACAGATTCCCGACGTCGCCCGCGGCCCCGTGTCCTCCTCTGCCCGTCCCTGCCGCCGCCCGGAAGTCCGCCGGGACGCCGGGCTCTTCTCTAGGAAGCCTGGGCTTCCTGCTTCCCTCGCCTCTGCCCTTCTCGTCTCCCGAAGCCGCCCGCGCGTGGAGGGTTGGGGTTAGCGGCCGCGGGGGTCGGTAGGCGCCGTGGGGCCTCCCCTACCCGAGCACGGGCGAGCGGGCGGCATCCGGGCGGACCCCTGCCTCAGGGACCGGGAAACTGAGGCTCGGACGGCCCCAGACGCCGTCAAGGTCACGTAGGTGGTGGGGGCTTGCACCTCCGCCTCCCTACTCCATCCAGTTCGTGTTTGCTCCGAGGACCGCACCGGCTGGGGGCGGCGAGAGCGGGCGGGCAGGTGGATGGGGACCCCGCGCCCGGCCCCGGCTGCTGAACGGAATGCGTGGCCTTCCGGGGGAGTCCAGAGTGCCTCCTTTCACACCAGTGAGACGCGACTGGGGGTCCACACTCACGGCCCCGTGGCTTCCGGAGGGCCGATCGATCTTTGCTTTAACCCTAGGGTGGTTCCTTGTCCGCGGTAGATAAGAAGGCCTCTTCTGAGCTGGTGAATCTTTAACCTGCCTGCGGAACGACCTGCTCGCAGACTCCGGGCCGCAGAGGCCGGCCCCAGCGCGCTCAGGCACGGCCTGCGTGGTTCCGGGGTGAGACTGGGGCTGGACAGCCGTGCGCACCTGGAGTGTTAGATAACCATTCCGACGGCACCTCCTGGCACTCTCGCTTTCCGTCCAGGCAGCCGGTTGCTGCTTTGCAGGAAATGAGCAGAAATGCACTCGGAATCGCGGGCAGGAAAAGAAGGGAGGTCGGAGGCTTTGGATGGTCCCCGAAGTCGCTGCCTAATTGATAGCTATGGAGTTGGTGCCACTGCCCCTGTTGGAGTGGGCAGTTGTAGTTCTTGTTTCAGAACTAGTGGTCAGCAGTTTTCTTTGCCGGCTGTTGCAAGGCTGGTGGTTCTGGCGTTTTCCGCAGTGTGTTTGGTAAGATTGTGAGATGCCGCGGTGCAGTTCGTGTGCGGCCCCTGTGGCCCTCTGCTTTTGCGTTTGCCATTTTCTAACACTTGTGACTGCATGGATGGTGTTCTGATTTAATTTGAATTTTCAGCAGCACTGCCACAGTAGCCAGAACCATAAGGTCCTGAAATCCAGTATTACTATCTGGGTCCAAAGTTGAGAAGAATTGAGTAGTGTAAATGTTAGTCACACATCTGATTAGCCACATTGTTAGAAGTCTGTTGTCCACGTTTCCACGTGTTGGTAGACTGGAGAATATCTGTCACTAGTCTTCGGGTGTATCTTGTTGAAAATAAATCCAAATCACTGCAGCAATAGGAATATACTGTTGCCTGTGAGGCAGATGTTCAGATTTGCCAGTTGAAAAAGATTTGAAACAGTTGGTTTGGACAACAGCTGAGTCACACAATGACTGTGAGTGAAAAGCAAAAGGGTTTTGTACATCATGTGGCCTAGCTATGCGCTGTACCTCTTGCACAATACGGAGAGGACATTCAGACATCTTCCTTCACCTGCTAATCTGCCCCTACGGACCAGACAGACTTGAAACTATAGGAAGGTGCATTTGGCCTTTCATTCTGCACTTCAGTAAAATTTAATGTGGCCTGTCAGCTGCTGCGGTGATCATAGAAGTAGACCTAAACCAAGAGGAAAAAACCTGTTGTGCAAGTTCACACGTGGAGTAGTATGACTGGTTTCAGAGAGTTGAAGCATTTCTTTTTATATTCTTCAAATTAAATGTCTCCTTGGTGTGTGGATTTAAACTTGCTCTTACAGGCCAGGCGCACCAAGCTTTCCTACACACTTATTCATGAGCTGTGACCATTCCCTGAGCAAGAGGCTGAAGCCAGCCTGGCTGGTGGGTCCATGCTGTTCTCATAGGCTTTTCTCCCCTGGACCTTTCACCTTCATAAAGTCAAGAGGGTGAGAGGAAATGGAGTGCAGTGTCAGAGGTAATTGGGAGAGAAACATGAAAAGGCCTTGCAGTAGGGATCTTAAATTATGAGGACTTTTTTTTCTGTGTTGTGCGTGCTCGTTGGCGTGGATGGTTGGTAGGGATATCCTGTCCATAGTGTCTGAAGTGGTCTTTTGCAAAAGGTTTGCAAAATCCTTTCATGTTGGGATTCCAGGCCTTGTCCTCATCCTCAGGTTCCCATCCTTTTGTGGTTATTGTAAACTCTCTAAGGCATAGTTGCACTTATAGCTTTACAGCTGTGCAGCCACCTCACTGTCTTGGAAGTTACTTTCACATTCTCAGGTGGGTCAGATGACCTTGTTAGCAACTTGACAGACATGTCCTGGATGCTCTTTGTTGCCAGGAGGCTCTCAGGTCCTCCCCCAGGGTCCTGTCTCAGTCTCCTACAGGGATGCAGAGACAGTGAGGCTGGCTGATTAGCCATAATGTCCTTGACTAATCTTGGTTTCCTGGTTCTTACACAGTGGTAACAAGGGCTTGCAGCCGGTTGTCAGCCAACAGACTGGGAAGGGTGGTGCTTCTTACAGGCCCTGATAAAAGGAGAAGCCTAAATGGCCAGAAGAGAAGAGACAGGAAAAGCATAAAAGGCAGGCAGGTTTTCACAGGCACAGCAATTGAGAATGATTCTCTTCAGAAGGCAGACGTTCTCCCACACCACTGAGGCCCTAGGCTCACTGCTAGTGTCCAGCATGAAGTGAACAGGAGACTTGATTCAATCCATGAACATTTCAGGAAGTTAGAAGTCTGCAGTTGTGGATTGCAAAATACATATCTGGCCTGCCTCCCATTTCCTGGCATACAACTACTAAAATACTTGGAATCTCCAAAGTGATGATGTCTTTTTGTACAATTAGTTGACTGGTGACGGGCGGCCCCTACGAAACTTTTGGGTGGGGCTAGTCACTGGGCCAAGGCAGGATTAGGGAGTTCCAAGTTTCAGCCCACCCTCCAACTTCCAGGAGTGGAGAGGGACTGAAGATTGAGCTGGTCACCAGTGGCCCATAATTGAATCAGTCATACCTATATCATGAAGCCACACTTTTGCCTTCAGTAGTTAACAGCATCTACAACCCTGTGTTTCCATATCTGTACAAAGGAATGTTAAGAGTGAACCACAATTAAGTCAACCACACTTTGAAACAGCATGAAATTCCTTGTTGATGGGGAATACCCAAAAGGCCTGCCTGGGCTTTCAGAGAGCTTCCAGATAGCTGAATTCATGGAGGTTACTGGAGGGTGGCACACCTGGAGGGCATGGTAGCTCCATGTCCTTTCCCCCATACCTCGCCCTATGCATGTCTATATCTGTATTCCCTGTAATATCCGTTATGAAAAACCAGTAAGCTTAAGTGTTTTTCTGAGTTCTGTGAGCCACTCTAGAAAATTAATTACCCAAGAGGAACCCTGATTTATAGTCATCCAGAAGCACAGGTAAAATAACCTGGGGCTTGCGATTACCTCCAGGTAGACAGTCAGAATTGAACTGAGTTAAAGGACACCCAGCCAGTGTGTCCTGCAAAACTGGCTGCTTGCTTGGCATGTGGGGAGAAACCCCTGCTCATGTGGTGTGAGAAGTGATCTGTGTTGTAACAGTGTGTGAGAAACCGAGTTTGGGTTTTCCTCTGTCCTCAGAATAGTATATTTTGAAAATCTTCTAGGCAGAATGTATCAAAATAGTTTTTATTCCCTAAAGGGATGCCAGCAGGCTAGAAAGATTGATTTCCAAAGAGCTTCCAGTGGTAGCATGGCTAGATATGAGACATCTTTCCATTTGTGTCCTACAGGAAGTTGTTTTTGCAGTACCATATACTCTACACGGGAAACTTAATGGTTCTAGTTCTCAAATAATATGTTGAAGATTTTTAATGGGTGGTTTTTAAAAATACTATTAATACATCATCTAGCAGTTTTGGTGGTGACATTTTTCTTAAAATATTTATGCGAGCCAGGCACTGTGCCTGACGCTTGCATAGTCCAATCTGCTTGGGGGCTGAGGCAGGAGAGTGGATCACTTGAGTCTAGGAGGTCAAGGTTGCAGTAAGCTGTGATCACACCACTGCACTCCAGAGACAGGGAAAGCATAAAAGGCAGGCAGAGTGAGACCCACCAGCTCTTTAAAAAAAAAAAAAAAAAAAAAAGTTATACCTGCTTACCAGTTGAGGGTGCCTGGGGGCAGGTTTAGAAAACAGATTTTGAACACACATCCCTCCCTCCTGTGGTGTCTGACATCACTGAGCTGCCACACTTTTGCCTTCAGTAGTTAACAGCATCTACAACCCCGTTTTCCACATTTCTACAGTCAGAAGAATGTTCATACTGAACCACATGCAACAAAAGTTTTTAAACAGCATGAAATTCCTTGTTGACATGATAGATTTTTCCTGGCAAACTCATTTTTAGGGTAAGCACATCTGTAGATGTGTATGGTTGGTCTTCATGAGCCCTACGGGTCTGATAAACATTCTTTTGCCATTGTTTTCTCCTCTCCTTGGTGGTGAGTCACTTGTGCAGTGCCCAGCGGAAGAGGGTGGGAGGCTGGAGAGGAAGGCCTGTTCTGGGCAGAGGCAGCTCTACTTGATGAGCATGAGGGCAGGGGCTGTGACGGTGAGTGCCACACAGAGCCACCCACACTGGCAGAGGGAAGGCAGGGAGATACCAGGACCATCCGGAAGGGGCAGACTGTCATTTGACAGGTGCCATGTTTGCAGAGATGTGAAGGAGT